TACTTCTCCCTTAGGTGAATCTCACTGCTCTGGGAACAATAATGATAATGATAATAATAATAATAATAATAATAATAATAATAATAATGATAGCAGCGAGCATTCACATAGTACTTTAAGATATGTAAAGCATTTTACATATCTCATTTGATCCAAGTCGCAAAAACACTCTGAAGGAGATGCTATCAGAATTCCCGTTTCATACTTTCTCTCACGCCATTGCTCCTGCCTTGAATTCTCTCATCCTCTTTGCTTTCACTTCTTTCTATCCTTCAAGGCCTAGCAGAAGTTCCACCTTGAAGCCTATTCCAATTATTCAAGGTTCTGGAGATCTGCTCCTTCCTCTGAATTCCTAAGGCAATTTTGGTGGTTTAAAAAAAATCATTCATCTGGCACTTAGCACATACAACCTTGTACAGCAGGTGGCACAGTGCTTGGGTCTGGAGTCAGGAATCTGGCCTCAGACACTAGCTGTGTGACCCTGGGCAAGTCACTTAACTTTTACCTGCTTCAGTTTCCCCACCTGTTAAATGAGACAAATAAAAGCACCCCCCTTCCAGAGCTGTTACGAGGATAAAATGAGTTAATATTTCTAAAGTGCTTGCATACTTTAAAACACTATGTAAATGCTATTAAATTTTATTTTCATGCTTGTTCTCCTTTCTGGTGAGAGTCTCTGTGGTAAGGGAGCATACTGTACTTTTTTCTGGGCCATACAAATACTACATAATGGATGTTAGCCAATAACTCAGATGTTTCACACTGTTTTGGAATTCTAGGTAGAAAACATTGAAGGCTTCCTAAGTTCTATCTGGTCCACTGCTCCACGATGAATGGTCTGTGCACTCAGGAATGGTCTATGTATGCCTTGTGGGTTCCTCTTCCCTAAGATGTCTAAGATTTATGGGATGCCTAAACTTGTCCAGTGTGCCTTCGGGTTGTGAAATGAGCAAATATAGGGGAGAAATAGACTAAACAAATGCAGTACTGTGCAAAAGCCCAGGAGATGGAAACCTCCTATTTATTCACAAAAAAGGCAGCTCTTCCACTGCACCTATGTGCTTTAACCTAAATCTCCAGGGTCCAATCCTGAGAAAATTGATACTTCGGCCTACATTGAACTCAGTTTTTTGTTTGTTTTTTAGGACTGTGCTAAGGGCTTGAGAGGTATCCTTGTGTATTGAGAATCAGAGGCTCATTACATGCGTGCAAACATCTGACATCTCTCAGATTGATGACAGACTGGAAACACAAAACGAACCTTCTGCAAAACACTTTATACCTTGAAAACGAAGTTAACACAAACTTTTATGTATGCTTTTAAATAAACTAAAATCTGGGAGAGTATGGGCTTTAAAAGCACTTCCAGAAAGCATGGAGTGTAATTGGCGTCAAAATGACAGGACCCACACAATGCTGCAAAGATACAGTGATGACTACCTGCTTGGAACAGGGGCTGGGAGGAAAAAGGGGCATGTTGAATTAAACCACTCGTACAGCCATAGAAAAGGTGGGCTTGGTAATCAGGGAGAACAGTCCAGGTATCCACAGGGTGACTACCTTCTAGTGGGCCAAGTGGGTATACAGTAGCATTTGAGAGGGGACCAGAGAAGAAATGAGATGGTTACTGGGACAACAGGCTCAAAGGAGAATGATGGCCGTTGAGCAATTCACACGCTGTTTACTCCCTTGCTGGATAATTTATATAGTGACAGAATACCCTCCTGTAGGCTTACAGAAGCCAACCCGTGAGCCACTGAGATTCCTTGTGTCTCACAGGAGCATCTCCTAGCCAGTAGCACATTCCCCACCATAATCCTTATGCAAGAAATGGGTGATATTGGTAAGCAGGAGGGTCACCATGTTTAAAGGATTTATCTGAGGATGTCCCGTCCTCTTGCTTTTACTATAGCCTCGAGCCATGCCTGAACAGGAGCACCGAGCTCCTTGATACTTACTTTGGAGCCAGGCAGTATTTCCACAACTTTGCTGGGGCGGGGGAAAGCCCTGCTTGCTTAATAAGGTCTTCTACCCGGCATTACAGGACTAGAAACTTGCACTGAAGGTCAAAAGACGAGCTTTTCTGATGCTTAGCCTGGCAAAAAAACTTTCCATGCCACAACCTTCCACCCCACTCCACCCCTTCAGGTTGACAGGTTAAAGAGTCAATGATTCTTGTAATTAATGGTTCAGCATTCTAATATAACTTTTCATTATAAGTTGGCTGAGTAGTTTAGCTTAGGTCCTGGGGTTCAATTCTGTGTCCCATTTCTGGGCTTGTTTCCTCAGCTGCGGAAAAAGTCATTGGATGATTTTTTTCCAGCTCTAGAAGAACGATGTTTATCTAGGACTCTCAACTAAGCTGCCAAAGGAAATTTCAGTTCCCCAATTCTCACCTAAGTAAATGCCCACCTCCTCCAAGAAGGGGTAATAGATGAAATAAAAGATTAGAATGACATCAGATTCCGTACTTCTCATTTCCCCCCTTCGATCTTCAGGTTCTTGCTCTGGGTTCCAGAATCAAGATTGGTTTAAACAAAAAAATCCCAACTGAGAAGAATAAACCAACCAGTCCAGCCCCTAATCTGCACTCACCTGCCTTCTGGGGCTTTCACCTTCCAAAGTCCTCCGTGCCCATGTGTACAAAAACAATGTCTGCCAGACAGTGTCAGGGATTACAAGGCCTTGGTCACTGCTATTTCCAGCACCTGGGCACAGGATCTAACATCAGACTCCGGAGTGGAAAGATGGGTCAGGCCAAACGGGCCTTTTAATTTCTCGGTGTTCTTAGTACAAAGATAAATTTCCAGTGTAAAAAAAAAATTTCCACATCTAAATCTGTATTTTTCCCCTGGGGTCAGGCCCCAACTGGGTCACTGGATGTGCTTTCAAATCAGTTACGGACAGTTGCCTGGTTTTCCGCCTTGCTCGGAGTTGAAGACTGTCAGCCTCCTCAGCTCTCTGCAATGGCCCCAGGAGACAGAGCCAGGCAAGTGCACTTCTGGGGGTTCAGCTAAGCTTGAAGGGAAGCAGAGGGCTGCCTTCTTGGGTCAGCTTTCCCCTGTGGGGATCCCTAGAGGGGAATCTCTTTTCTGCACCCCCCTCCTCTTACAGTTCTGATGACAGTATTTGGAGGGTAGGCACAAAATGACAAGAATGGATAAAATAAACTCTGATTGGGCTTATTCCACTGCTTGAGGAGATGGGGCTGCGGCTTGAATCAAAAGCCTTCATGGTTTTACCTCTGGCAATGTAGTGAGTTTGAGGGACTTCCCCTTTTCCAATTTCCACAAAGACCTCACTGTGGGAGAGGGGGTGGTGGAATGTGTCCTACAGAGTCCAACCGCAAAAAAGGCTTAATTCACACCTGGGGTGGGACGTTTCTTTCCATTTTGACTGTATGCAGAAGCCAGAGAGCCAGACAGAGATCGTTAAGAAAGCAAGGGAAGACAGGAAATAGCTTCAAGTTCAGGCTACTCTGGGTTAAAGATAATGCTATCAAAAATGTTTTCTCTTCAGGATATGTGCCTCAAGGCTCTGTTACGTTTCTTTTACCTGGATCTCAAATTTAAGATCAAAATCCTACTTTCTGATAACTATCTTTTGATTAGAGCTAAGGAGGTTTGGGCAGCTAGGTGATGCAATGGATACAGCACTGGGCTTGGGGTCAGGAAGACTCTTCTCCATGAGTTCAAATCTGGCCTCAGACACTTCACTAGCTGTGTGACCCTGGTCAAGTCACTTCACCCTGTTTGCCTCAGTTCCCCATCTGCAGAATAAGTTAGAGAAGGAAATGGCAAACCACTCCAGCATCTTTGCCAAGAAAACCCCAAATGGGGTCTGGAAGAGTCGAACGTGACTAACAATAAGGAAAAGGTTTGAATACAAACTGGGGAAGAATCTGGAAACCCAGACAGGAAACCAGTTCCTGCTCTCAGCCCCATCTCTAACTCGTGCTTTACAGGGTTTAGCTTCATACCAAAGGTTCCTACCTCAATCCCGTAAATTCCAAAATAAAAAATGGGTGAACTAATATGTACCACTTAATGAGATATCCATGGAAAGGGTCTGAGGCTTAACATATTTCCTCAGGAACTTTAGGGAAAAAATTGGTTTTAATTCTACAGAGTGCTTAGGAATTCACACATCTGACTTGGACAGCTACCCTCTTGTTCTGGTGTTATACAAGCCCGGTCTTATGGCAAATTAACCTAGGAATCTATAGGAAGCTAATGGAATTAGAAGAACTCAAGGTGCTCCAGAGGCTTCTAAGATACTCTCCCTCCACTGGTTTTTTTTGCCTTTTTATTATTATTTTTTTAACCAAATATGGTTAGGTTGAGTCAGATTTCTCAGAAAGGGATGTGCCTGTTCTATCACTGTTAACTGTTTAGTGGCTCATGGGAAAACAAAGACAATGAAGCCTTTAAAGATGTGGAAGCCAGACCCCCCAAAACACACCCCTTCAACCTTTAACCTTCTTCTTGGAAGAGTCAGAACACCACTGACAATCCTGAACTGCACCATTCCAAACTGGATACCTGCTTATCCACAAACCTCCCTGAGGCACTCTCCAGAATTAAACCACTGAAGATATATACCAGAGATAACAGATATGGAAGATCTGACCTCCTGGTCCCTCCCCTCTACATTTAAACTCCTTCTTCCTACCAAAGATCACTTTCTAACTCCTAATGCCCCAAGCACATTAGCCCAGCCATCCACAGGGGCCGTCTCCGAGGGGCATGGGTGACTTCGGAGCAGTATTCTCAGGCAACCTTTTTCCTCAGGGGATTTTCTGCATAAACATTCCCATTGAGATCAACTTACCCGGAACACTGGAGAAGAGAATTCGGTATCAAATGCTATGACTAAAACCATTAAGTTCTTGGCGGCATTATTTTACACAAAGAATGGGGAAAATCTCAAACACGACATTTTCCGGCAGCTGGATTATTAATGGGTTTCAAGTTTTGGAAAAAAGATGCACAGACCACAAATGAATCTTCTAAACTGTATTTGGAACGGACAAAACATTCTTTCAAAAACAAAACCTTACTGGAGACGAATCCCTGGACACAGGGTTTGCCTCTGCCATAAAGCTTTACATTAACCACAGAGAGAATAAAATCAGAAATGTGTGATCTTTGGTACTGGAATGTTTAGTTCCCCGGCTATTCATGCACTTTCCAATTTTCCGTACACTAAATAACATTAGGTCACTGGTTAACTTAATTGGGTTTTCTGTTTGAATTGCCCTAGGAAGTTGGAAATCCCAGCTAATTTGGTTCAATATTCATTTACTAAGTACAACTATAAATAATTAGTGCCTGAGGTAGAGACTTCCATGAAAGGCTTGTTACAGAAAACATGACTGAGTACAACAGGGGAAAAGATTTCCAATCTTCTCGGAAGTATACAAGCAGACACGGCCCATGGCCCTTACTCAACCAAAGCAAGCAGCCTCATCCTGAAAAAATATAACTTTATTTTTTTTCCTGTAGGGATTCTGGACTGGAGTTGAAAACAATTTCCTTTGGCTGCTTGAATTCTGCAACACTATATATAGTTTTGCTCCTTCAAGGAGTGATTATTACCTGTGAACATGGAACGTGCACGAATGAAAGCCATTTCGCACAACAAAGGAGAAAGAGCTATGTCTGGGCAGTAGCAAATTACAACATTTTAAGGTCTCCAAGATGTGCAGACAGAATGAATGGCAAGCACACTCACTCAGCTTGATGATTCCAAAATTTGATACGGCCAGTAAATTAAGACATTACTGGCATGAATGAACTGGGATTGCCAAACTTTCAGAACTTTACATTATATTCCATTATATCCCTCTTACCAGGCTCTACTTTTTTTTTTTGAAGGGGAAGAATTTTCTCATGGGAATACATGATTAAAAAGGGGTAAAATAAAAGACACTGCCAAGTTCAGCTCATCTCCCACAAAAGTCAGGATTCCACCAACATATGAGGTCTGCTTCCTGAAAGCAAAGCGGTCATGGGTCATTTTAACTGAGCATAAATGTAGCCCCAGACCACATGGGATACTGAACAGGTGAAGAAAAATCCCTCTATATCTAATGCTTCATACCTATCACTCACAGCTGCCAAGAGCCCTGAATCATTACCGTCAGGTAATTAAATCATTAGTCTTACCAAAAGTCCTTCCAAAGGGGAAGGTGAAGTCTAAAATACTTGGCTTTTTATTGAAAGTTAGCTGCCAGCACTCCCCTCCCCCACCTGTTTGTTCTTAGAAAGGGGTGGCATCAGAATGTAATGCAGAGAGCACAAGGGGTGGAAATTCCAGCACCTGGTGGGTGTGCTCAGGTAGAATGCTGCTTCTTAGTAAACCCTTTCTCAGAAAACACTGCTTGGGTTAATTAGGTTTCCCAGGCTGTTGAGTACTGTTACCTGTGGTACTGGAGAGACATTTTGTTATCATTAACCAATTCTTTCAACTGCATTTGTATCTTACAGTTCAAATTCCAGACTCAGACAGATGGCAAAATAATGGTGTCATTTAAAGTTCTCCAGGAGCTCTGGTGAGACCAACCCTTACAACATCCCTGTGAGGTAGGTGAGAGACAGCTATTTTACCCCTGTTTCACAGAGAATATTCCTGGAGCTTGGACAAAGGAACAAAACGATGTGCCCAAGGTTACAACATGAAGAAACGAGAAAGACGAGGAATGTGATGTTAGAATGGGAGCCACAGGTCCCAGGCTAGGGTTTTAGCTAACAAATCACACTCTTTTACCCCCTCCTTCAGACAGATATAGGGGGAGGGCACAAAGATAGTGGAGGTAGGTAAAAGAGAAATACAAAAATAGTTTCCTCAATACACCCAAAGCCTTTGGGGAAAATATAGTCACTGATCGCTCTTGTTCACTCCAACTGTAAGAAACACCTTCGGAGGTAAAGTTTCTTATCACTGAGTGTAATTCCACAGTCAAGGAAACAGTGGCTTCCAAGATCTGATGGTTGCTGAATGAATAATGACTAGAGAACCACGTAAGACCCTTAAACCTTATAAGGCAATAAAATAAAACAGAATTAAAAAAATTAGCATCTAATTCATGGGAAATGTCTGATTTTTCTCATGTTAGCTTTTTTCCTTCAAGACTCACCCAAGAAAAAGGCTTCTTAAATGTTATTTCTCTGATGAGTCTCTTCCCCATTACATTTACACTGATGTCCAAACAAGGTGAATGCTGCACTAGAATAAATGCAACCATGCTTCAAAGACCTAAGTCCTCCACTCTACCACTCCACCCTTCCATTAGGGAAGCATTCCACGGAAGGATGGAGCAGGTTTTGTAAATAGTCAAATCCTGAAGTTCTCCAACAATACGAAAAAACAACCAGAATGGCCTGTCTGAGCAGTAGAGGTGAGTCTGGAATCCTTAACAAGCTAAGAAAAACTGCAACCAGGCTCCACATTAAAGTTAACAAGTAAACTGAGTGACAAGTGCCTTTAATTCTATATACTTTTTTTGGGTGGGAATCACCGTTGGTGGTCCAATGTTTAGTGGGTTAAGTGGGGCTGAGTCCTGTGATCTTTTTGTCAATCTGAGGCAGCTGGGACTGCCCAGGACATACAGGTAGGCTCCTAGAAACACTGAATTATTGGAATGGTTCGGACCCTTCACACAAGCAAAGGCTGAAAGAAAGCCTACTGAGAAACTGGGTACCAACCATCAGGAAATTCATCTCACACACAGAGGTGGAGGGAGGAGACAGTGAGCAGTAGTTATTTTTTAAACCATTACTGTTTCCATCTAAGATGTTCAGAGTCATCCACAAAGTCATCAACGAGGAAATTCAAAAGAGAGAACAGTTCTTGACAAAACAGAGAAGAACCAGGGGCAGGATGGGTACATAATGAGCACTCCAGGCCTCAAACGTCTTTGCCGGGTTCTTGACAACGTACGCCCTTTCTTCCCTGACTGATATTTTCCCTTGGCTTAGCCATTCTGCTCTTCTCTAGGCTTTTTCCAAAATTCCTCCTTCTCCAAGGAAGAGAGCTATGTGGAGCTCTACCATGCCTTAAGGTTAGTGACAGATGAATTAATTAGAGGTAATCCTTCCCTGGCTAGTCTTGGGAAGCTCAAATCTTGCGTATTTTCTTAAAGTGAATGATGATAAATTTCCTTCTTAAGCTTTTGCTTCTAAGGAAACAGCAAGTTTATGTTAGTTATATGTGATATATCTATAGATTACATTTCCGGAATATTCTCCTTTTGTCCTACTTGGTTTTATTTTTGGTTTAAGATGCCTGGAGGACCCAGAGGACGCTCTTCTTTGCTAAGCAGAAAAAAAATGCACCAAAAGTGAACATGAATGGCTAGAAGGTAATTCACATGTTATGATATGTTTTGGACTGCAATGGAGAGAAACAAAAACCCAGTTAAAAAAAAAAAGAGGGCTTGCTTCTCGGACTTCACCAAATGACAGGCAGCTGGCAGGTCTTAGGAGTTACATATAAGGAAACTGAGCTTTGGAGAACTTGGGGCCTGTAGGTGAGGACCCAACAGACATCTCTGGAAATGATCCACTAGAGTAAAAGTCCCTTTGTTTTCCTTTCACTACCAGGTAATTAAAAAAAAAAAAAAGGTTATACACCCTAAGACAAACAACGTGAAAATACCAGCAGGCCAAACATTTTGACATGACCCAGTGCTAAGATCACTGCCCCCTCAAGGCTAAAAATGCACATAAATTATCAGTATCTTACAAATAGGACTGCCTCTTCTTACCAAAAAACAGTACCACAGGCTGTAAACACAGAAAATTCTTCCCTTTTGCATTTACAAACGCCAATTATTTGCCAAAATATCCACAGTATCAGCCTGGATGGGTTTTCTGGCCAGAAAACCCATCCTGGCATGTCACTCTCCCCACCTGGCCAGCGGACAGTTAGAATCCATGGAACGTGGACTCCAGGCTCGCTGGTCTTTTGCAGCCTGAGTAGCTCTAAGTATTATTCATACAAGCAAGGCTGTTTGTATACTTCCTGCTAATATATAAAAATGGAACTGTTTATTACAGGCTTCGTGAGAGGACAGTCAGGTTACAGGAGGGAGACTGAAGGCAATCCAAGCAAGGAATAATTTCTCTCCCTGCTTTCACAGCCCATTCTTCAGGTGTGACTTTGCTTTCTGACAAGGTAAGTAGACACTCCCAGGGAAGCCATGCTATCCAGAGGTAGGCATGCCTCCCTTTGTGCAACAGATGTTGGGCTTAAAAAAAAAAAAGCTGGGTGATTTGAAAAAGAAATTGGATGACATGCTATTGGCATTAGCCAAGCTCACTAACTCCATCAAATCTTTTCATAGAGTGTAGCACTCCCTGCCCCCCACTACTTTACTTCATTTCTTGTAACTCAGGCTTTTCACCTAGCATGTTTGTTTCAGATGGGCACATCTGTACAAGAGGCAGTTTTGAGTATCCGGATAAGACCAATAGGAGCTTGTCTCTGTTGGGGAAGAGTGAAGGAATTTGGCCCAAGTTGCTACAGGGTTTTCTTTTCAAATCTCCAAACTCAGGGCTCCTTCTTGGTCTCCCTCTGTAACTGAAGTCCTCCCTACAGCATGAGGCACTTTTATTAAGAATTGCATCTATTATAACTTTAAACACACGGCAAAAGTCTGCTGGCCAAAGTAATAATAACACTAGCCAAATGCTAGGCGTTATCTATTACAGTTTTTTTTCCTTTAATATAAAAGTATAACTGCAGAGGTCAAATGTACAAATACAAAAGAAAATTAGCATACTAAAAATGTACCATAATACTGTACATAAAAAACTGTTCAACAAGAATGATTTAAATATATCTGTTCTTTTCCAGATCTGGAAGACACAAGGGTAAAGTTCCGTAACCGTGTTATTGCTGAGAACATGTGCCCGGGAACGCTCTGTTTCCCTTCTCTTCCACTCCCCAGTCTCCCCCTCCCGGCCCCAAGTCCCCTGAGCTCGGATCACTGGCCAATGCTAAACCTCCCTGAAGATAACCAGAGCCAAATGTTTACTCAATGGAAGTCATTATTCAGTGAGCCGCTTGCTGCTTACCCTAACGAGGAGAAGCACCAGTTATGGGCCTGGCCAAGATCAGATCCAGACAGAGTTCTTCCCATCCCCGGATTTGCTACTGGCACTGCTTTTGTTGGAGCTGGCTTTGGACTTCTTTTCCCGAGGGCCATGGCGGCTGTTCTGGTGGTTGTAGGCCTGGATGGCGAGGTCCAGGCGCTCCTGGGCCACCTTGATTTCTCGCTGCAGCATCTCCAGGTCTGCGGGGAGGTTCTCCTCGTTGCTTCCGTACTGCTGCTCCTGAGCGATGTTGGCCTTGTTCTGCTTGTAGGCAATCTTGGCATTGGACAGTTCGGTGTACTGGATTTGATCCGGTTTGACCACGATGTTATAGCCGGGCGGAGCAGACGGAGTATTCCAAGTGAAAGGATAATTATAAGCACCTGAATCTTCCAGTTCTCTCCTTTTGCTATTTAGTGAGTCCCGTATAGTCCCAAAGCCCAAGTGGAGCATTTCCCAGATGTTGAGGATCAGACAGAGGCCCGTCACACCATACATTATCAGCAGGAAGATGGTCTTTTCAGTGGGCCTAGAAATGAAGCAGTCTATTTTATGAGGGCAGGGGACTCTGCTGCACACATAAAATGGGCGGACCTGGAAGCCATACAGAAGATACTGCCCCACCAGGAAACCCACCTCAAACAAGGTCCTTGCTAGCAACTGCAGCACGTAAATTTTCATGAGCCCATCTTCCCGAATCCGCCGCCGGCCATCGTGCTTGGGTTTAGGCTGACTCTGCTCCTTGTTCTCTTTTTCACTTTCTAATTCCATCTCTGGGTACATCATGGGGTCTTCCTCATGGTCCTCCTCGGTTTCTTCCAGGCCCCTGTGCTGCTTCCAGCGCATTGCGTAGGGCTTGCTCCGCCCTGCCTTCTTGTCTGCCTCTCCGTGCTCCATCTTGGCAATCTTGTGAATGGCATAGCCCAGATACATCACAGATGGGGTGGCCACAAGGATGATCTGGAACACCCAAAAGCGGACGTGGGACAGAGGGGCAAAAGCATCATAGCAGACGTTCTCGCAGCCCGGCTGCTCTGTGTTGCACACAAATTTGCTTTGCTCGTCGTAATAGATGGATTCCCCACCCACAGCAGTGAGTACGATCCGGAAGACTATCAATATGGTGAGCCAAATCTTCCCCACAAACGTGGAATGGTTGTGGATCTCCTCTAATAGTCGAGTCAGGAAGCTCCAACTCATGGTGACTGGATCGGCTTACCCTGCAGACAAAGAAGGAGACCTCAACAGAGAAATCTGCAAGTGTTTAAAAACTTTAACAAATTCATGTTACCAGGAAGTACAGCAGAACCACTCTCATCCTTATTCAGGGCCAGTTAATCTAAACTCAAGGAACACACATTACAGTGAATCATGGTGTAAATGGAATTTTGCCCTTTATCCCCACTGGCCAATCCAATCCAATTCAGTCTGACCATACGGGTTTACATTTGAATCAAAATGGCCCTGTGTGGTTTGGATGGTTCCAGGTCTTGCCTAGTCTCGAAATTACCGTGGACCTAATTCCAAACTCCGGAGTCAGGCTGGACCTGAAAGGACTTTCAACTTTTTGGCCCTGGTCTGCCCAGACTCCAGAAAACAATATTAGGGATGGTATGAAACCAGACTAATATCAGGAAAGAGAAGAATAAGTGAATCCCCATTTCAGGATTCTATTCAAATTCTGGATTCCAAAGGCATCTAGAATCTGCTAGGTTCTGCTGAAATCTTTTCAATATTCATCATTAGCTGTAAGGTAACTACTAGATGATAAATTCTTTGGCTATGCCAACTTGTGAAACAAAGATCTTTATTTGTTTGTTAAATATTGCAAACTTAACACCATCTGTTTAACATTTAAAACAAGGGTCTAATTGCAATGGTTATCTAATCTTTGTAACTAATACAGATACAAAGGAGCTGGGTTCTTAAAAGAGGACAACAGGTTTCTTAACAGGACCTCATTCCATAGTAAGGGTCAATTAAAAATGAACAAAATAGATTTTCTTTCAGGAGCAGCTGAAATGTGGCACCAGCCAGCAAACTGTTAAGGGGAGCTAAGGAAATGGTACAGCTGGAAATCGTTAGCAACAATCAAGAGTTGAAATTTAAAGACAGAAAGAAACCAAGGGGAGACTCACCCCCCCCCTCTGTGTCCCCTGGCTAGCCTGCCTCATATGGCAGAATTTAGGAACCTGGTTTTGTTTAAAAGACTGCAATGAGTAAATTCAGCAACAGATTCTATGGCCATTTTATAGAATAACAGAAGTTGCATGCAGATGATTACATTTAAACTGTAGTTTCGCTTTGGATATCAAGTACAGGGAATGGGATGGCCCATTTGAAATGACTAGTTAAACTAGGTCTATGTTTTAAGAGAAAAGAGAGAAGAGTTTTCCTTAAAGAAAAATCTAGTCTTGTTCTAAAATTTTTAGACTGATTGCTGCTCCTTTCGGTTACAGATACTTTATCCATTCCACTCAAAGGCAATCTGAACACACATTTTTACCTGTTAGCCAGAACTTTGGTTATGCAGAATACACTTGAAGAATGGATGTTTATCTTGCAGTTCTTCCAGAATCCCACTGAAAGGACAAAAAAGAAAACAAGACAGGGTCTTAAGCCTCCTCCCATAGGTGACAATGAGTTACTAAAAAGTCATATTCAAAAGGCACAAGGAAACAAAGCTTTCATTATACCCAAAGCACTGAAAAGGAAGAGCCTGAATTAGAATTTGAATGTTACATTTCTCTCTCTTTTTAAAACTATATGAGGCAGGACCAATAAAACAGCAGTGAGCTATACACTCTTTTGACACAGCAATCTGTGAAAATATGACATGAAGATGAAACATTTATGAGAAACAGAAGCTGATAAACTCTGTCATCCATAGGAAAACGCCAAAGCAGAGGCAATTCCAGCTCCTTTAAATCAGGTCCCCAAAGGGACCACATGCATCTTTATTCTCTACATTTTTTGGACTAATTCCACTACTTATTATAAACCAACATGTCCTGCTGGGCAAAGAGTAGCCAAATTATTTACCTAAGACACTCCCTACCTAGCTCTTTCTTTGTCACAAAAACATTTCCCAGCAGAAGGTAGCGGGCCTGGCTCCTCCTCTGGCCCCTGCTTGCCCCCTTCCTGGCCAGTGAGTCCCTCATGGGTGCTGTGGTCCTCAGGCCTCCTGGAGTGCTTCCTGCAGTTCTTCTCCCTTCCAGCAGAGAGGGCTTGTGCTACTTCCATCCTCTCTAAGCCCTTGAGTCACCCCTCCCCCTCCAGGGGGCTCCCAGGTCACTGGAGGAGGAGGGGGTGCCTCATGTCACTTGTACCCTGTACTATTTCTCATCCTTCAGTCAATGAGCATTTATTAAATGCCTATTATTTGCTAGGCACTGTAGAGAAACCCCTGTGGTCTGGAGCAGGGGCTCTGAATCTGGGGTCAAAATTTGGGTTTTAAAAAACACTGATAACTGTGTTTTAATATAGTCAGTTTCCTTTGTAATCCTAAGTATTTTGTTTTATTAATTTTAACATATTATTTTGGGAAAGGGTCTGCTGTCCTCACCAGCACCAAAGGAAGGGGTCTACTACACTACAGAGCAATGTTAAGAACCTCTGAGTGATCTAGGGAGCAAGGTGGGGCTGGAGGGTGGATGAGGCATCCAGGTGCAGTGGCAGAAGCAGAAAAGGCCATCGAGGATCTGGCACAACTCACCTCTGAGCCCAGGGAACCAAGAAAGCTCAGGCACCGAGAGGGGACTGGAAACCTGGTACCTCAAGTTGAGGTTCATAAATTAAAGATGAAACCTTTAAGGCAAGGTCACTGACCTGGATCAGCAAGCCTGGACTCTTTACAACTAAAGGTTAAAGAGTGAATTTGTATCAGAGACCTTGGGCCAGTCTTTTAACTTCTCTAGGCCTTCTTTTCCTCATCTGAGCTATAAGATCTGAGGCCCTCCTTCCCAGCTCCATCATTCTATGACTCTGGCTGCTGGAGGTCTGAAGCAAAGCATGTAAAAAGTCCCAAGAACTTACAGTAAAAGTTAAGAAATAAAAAACAGGAAGGCTTCTGAATGATTTCCAAAGGCCCATAAAGAGGTTAATGTGGAAGAAACTTTCTACATTTCTGACATCTACATATGGAAGAAAGTTTCCGAAGTTTTGGCAACTACACATCTGAATATATGGGACTGTCAATGTTTCCATATATGGGAGAGGTAGTAACATTTCACTAAAAGAGTCTAGAGACCACGACTCTATCCTTGGCTCTACCACTAACTAGTTTCAGGATATTGGGCAAATCACTTCCCCTTATGGGCATAGGATTCTTCATCTGCAAATAAAACTGGGGGCCAGACTACTTTCTAAGGTCACTTCTTGCTCCAAGGATCTATGACTTTAGCCATGTCTATACAGAAATTGAGAAGAGATTACATCCCTTAAACATTGAGGGGGAGTTTGGTGCTCTTTAAACTGGAGTACCAGAATGCTATAGTCAAATAAACCATCATGGGAGCAAATGGCTTCATCGTGGCCCCAGATGTATCGATGGGGCTAGTCCAACTGGCAATTCCAGGCATGGTTTCCCCAAGGGCCCCCAACCTTTCTCTATTAAAACCACACACAGTGAAGAACCATTTTAATTATTTAAATGTGATACATAGCAGGTTTCTAACAAAGCCCTCTAAAAATGCTGACACCTATACACAGGGTCCCTCCCAAATGACCAAATGTCAGCTATAGCAAAACTCTTCCCTTTTAAAAACTATTAAAAAAAATCCTACTAACTCCAGTAAGCCTTCAAACAATACACCAGCAAACATTTATTAAGCACCTACTACATACCAGGCACTATGCTAAGTGATGGGGATACAGAATCAAACAGTCGCTGTCCTCACGAATCTTACATCCTAGTGGAGGAGATAGGTACATATGTAGGTACATACACAACATAGACAAAGCAGGCACCTGCTAACCTTGTATGGGAAAACACGGGAAGCTGGGGGTCAGGGCTGGGGCAAGATAGACAGACTGGGAAAGGCCTCCTAGAGAAAGCACTTGAACTGAGTCTTTTTTCCCCATTTTATTTGCTCTGAACTAAACAGACACCAAATAAAATGAACATTTCACGTACACTGTGAAACAGAAGGGTAGGATTGTCCATAAAAGTATGACACTTTCATGTAGAGCTTGTTTTTGTTTTTAATTAATATGATAGATTCAACACATGTGCATTTCTAAGCTGTCTCACTTGTCTGATTCCTTTTAGTCTTTCTTTTGTTTTCTTCTCATTTTAATTTTTATTTGGGGGGAACTTATCCTTTATTCCCCTCTCCTTGTATCCTTCCCAGTTGAAAGAAAAATGACATAAACCTTTCAACAAATATGCACTGTCGGGCAAAGCAAATTTCCACATTGGTCATGTCCAAATATGTACGCCTCTGTCAGATGTGGGAAGAACGCTTCACCACCAGCCCTCTGGTGGAGTTGCTGGTTTTTGCACTGACCAGAACTGAACTCCCTCAAGAAGGCTGACCATTCTCAGAAGTAAAGGTGAGAAGAGAGAGCATTCCAAGTGAGGGTCACACAGTGTGAAGGCATGGAGGAGGATGGAGCTGGGCCAGAATGGCTGGAACGAAGTGTGCCTGGGAGTGGAGGAACGTGTCAGAAGACTGGAAGGAAAGGAGAGAGACAGGTGAGGAGAGCTTTACGTCAACAGAGTTTCTATTTGATCCTAGGGGTAACAGGGAAACACTGCAGTTCGAGTTGGGGGTGACATGGTGAGACCTAAACCACATCATTTTGGTCACCATTAGAGTGGAGAAAAGGGGATGAATATGAATCATAAGAGCCAGAAATAATAAGATATGGCAACTGATTGGACATGTGGGGGGGAAATGATAGTTAGAAGTCAGGGATGATTCAGAGGTTGTCAACCTGGATGACTGGAAAGTGGTGCTCTCAGTCGGGCTCAATAGGGAAATCCAGAAGATCGGTGGGGTTAAAGGTAAAGGAAATGAATTGTTTTACACATGTTGAATTTCATTTGTCTGTGGGATACCTAGTTGGAAACATACAATAGACAATACAGCAGGTGATTCAGAGTTAGAGCTCAGGAGAGAGACTAGGGATGGCTATGTAAGATCTAAGAGTCATTTGCATAGAAACAATTGAACATATGGGAGCTGATGAAGTCATCAAGACAGAATAAGAGACAGCAGAGAAAGCATTTCTGGACAGAGACTGTGGCAGAGAGAGGCACCCACTATTAAAACGTGTGACATCAATATTGTTCTATCAAAGGAGATTGAACAGAATTAGTAGGAATAGCACCAAGAGAGCAATTATCACAAAAATTCATAGATATGAGAGCGTCTGGGAGCCGACAGAGGTCAATAATGTCAAGTTATGGCAGAGAGGTCACACCACTTGTAATCCCCAACCTCTCCACCGAGAAAAGGAAGCATATTCCACCATCAATCATCTATAAATGACATTGGTCAATGCATGTGATAAGAATTCTATTATTCTTTTAGTGTTGTAGTCATTTGCATTACTATAATCACATATTATTTTCCTGACTCTGCTTTCTTCACTCTGTATCAGTTCTTCCAAGTCTTCCCCATTCTCTTAATTCTTTACCCCACAATAATATTCCATCATCTCCATACGCTACTATTTATACAGGCAGTTGCCAGTCAATACACATAGATTTTTCCTCATATTTTTGCTACTACTACAAAAATGTTTTTATGCATATTTCAGCATATAAGAGACCTTTCTGTCACCAACTTCATCAGGGTATGTATGCTCTGCTATCAGATGATGGGATCAAAGAGCATGAACAGTTTAGTAACTTTTCTAACATAATTCCATATTGTTTTCCAGAACAGTTAGATCAATTTATAGTTTCTTTTTTTCTTTTCTTTTTTTTTTTGGTGAGGCAGTGGGGGTTAAGTGACTTGCCCAGGGTTACACAGCTAGTAAGTGTCAAGTGTCTGAGGCCTGATTTGAACTTAGGTCCTTCTGACTCCAAGGCGGGAGCTCCATCTACTGTGCCACCTAGCTGCCCCTAGTTTGTTTTTCTTTAGCCTCTCCAACACTGGATTTTGCCATGCCCTAAGACTATAAATTGTAGAAAGGGTATACTGGTAAAAGTTTATATATTTGTGTAAATTCCCTATACATTTTGGATGTCATGCTTATCAGAGACACTTGAAAAGACTTTTGCCTAAACCACTGCTTTTCTTCTTATTCTAGTTGCACTGATTTTGTTTGTGCAAAAGTTTTTATATGCTAATTGAAATTGTCTTTTGTAATAACCTCTATCTTTTGCTTATCATATGAATTCTTCCCCTAACTATAGTTCTGTCAAGTAGCTGCCTTACTCTACATTTCAGAACTCTTTGACAGCATCTCCCATTCTCTCATCTTTTACTGCAGGCTCTCACATAGGGTTGGATTTAGGCCTAGCCCATCCCCTTCAATTTCTTACAGAAGATCATATCCATCATCATCTCTAATTTTCTATCCCTCCATATTTACAGGCTTCCTCTGATGCTTACAAACATGCCCAGGTCTCCCTCATTCTTAAAAATATTTCACTCCATCCCAACATTCCACAAAGCTATCTCCTTATATCTCTCCTCCTTTTCACAGCCAAACTTCACAATTTTTAAATAAAATCCTGTAAAACATACCATATAGCTAATTGTACAAAAAAATGTTCATTACGAACAAGTTGGATTTATTCCAAGGGCAAAAGGATGATTCAAGATTAGAAAAACAATCAATACAATTAATCATATTAAAACCCAAAATATCTAAAGTCATATGATTATCTTAAGAGTTGCAGGGGCAGCTAGGTGGCACAGTGGACAGAGCTCCAGCCTTAGAGTCAGGAGGACCTGAGTTCAAATCTGAATTCAGACACTTGAAACTTACTAGCTGTGTGACCCTGGGCAAGTCACTTATCCCTCAATTGCCTCACCAAAAAGAAAAAAAAGTTGCAGAAAAAGCTTTTGACACAGTGAAAAACTCATTTATATCAAGACCCTACAAAGAAGTTGAATTAAAGGATCTTTTTTTTAATCATAAAAAGTATGTATCTAAAACCAAAAGCAAGTATCCTATGCAATGGGGGCACAATGGAGCATAAGGATGCCCTCTCTTCCTGATATTTTTATTTGATATTGTTCTAGAAATGCTAGAAGTCACAATAAAATATAAATGTAAGTAAAGAGGAGGTAAAACTATCCTTTGCTGACATGATAATTTACATAGAAATAAAACCTAAATAACTAGAAGAACTGTAAGCTCTCATGGCTAGTTCTTGCCAATATGATACAAATGACCAAAGTTAGTTTATAGTTTTAATGCTATACCAAATTATCAAAGAGATACTTTATAGAACTAGACAAAAAAAAAGTTCATTTCCAGGAGCAAAAGATCTAGAATATTTAGGGGAGATAATGGACAAATGTAGGAATTGAAGGGAAATACCACTTCCAAATCTCAAACTACATTTTAAAACACTGTTATCAAACCATTTAGCGTTAGTTAAAAAATAGAGAAGTAGATTAATGCAACAGACTAGACAAGTGAGAATTAAAAATAATGAAACTAAATCACCTAGTATTTGACAAACATAAAACAACAAATTACTTAAGGAAAGAACTTCCTGTTTGATAAGCCTCTGGGAAAACAGTCTGGCTGAAATTAGCCTTAGACAAATACCTCATACCATATTCTACAATAAATTTTAAATGGATACAAATCATATCATGAAGATCACCCCCTCTTCGCACTCCTTTGCAGTGGAATGGAAAACCACTTGTCTCATGATCTATTTTGCTAGTTTTTTCCCTTCCCTTGTAATCTGTCTTCTGACCTCATCATCCAACTGAAACTATTCTTTCTCTGAGGAAGAGGTCGAAAGGGAATGTATTCCAGGCATGGGGGGATGAACGATGCAAAGCAGTGGGATGGGGAAATAGAACAGCGGGAAATTTGGTTGGATCTTGGAATGGGTGATGTAGATTTTATTCTGGAGGCAATGGAGTTGGCTGAGTAGGAGAACAACATGGTCAGTCAGTGCTTAAGGAAAATTATTTTGACAGCAGGGTGTATGATGGACTGGCGTGTGAGAGACAGTCTGAGGCAAGAACAATTAGGAGGTGGATACAATAATCTAGGCAGGAGCTGAACTAAGGCAATAGGCTGGGTTAGTGGGGAAAAGGGGTGGCATGCGAGAGATGTGAAGGTAGAAATGACAATATGTGACAGCTGGGATGAGAGAAAGGAAAGGAGTCAAAGATAATATCAAGGTTACAAGTCTGAGTCACTGGAAGGACAGTGGTGCTTTCGACAGAAAGAGAAAGTATGGAAGAGAAGGGTGGTTAGGTGAAAGATAATGAGTTCAGTTTTAGACACAATTCACTTTCTTTACTCTCAAATCTCCCTGTTTGTGGTCTCCCATACTATTGCTATTGAAGACACCACCATTCTTTCAGTTACACAGAGTCACAACCTTCACTTTTATTATTTATTTACTAGCCTCCTTACTTCAATCTACCCTTCACAAAGCTGCCAAAGTGATTTCCTTTTTTATTTTAACATTTTCAATGAACAAAAATCTATTTTCCCTCCCTCCCACCTTTCCATTTTGAAAAACAAAATAAAGAAAAGCAAAACACCTGTAACCAATATGTATAGTCAAGCAAAACAAACTTATGTATTGATCACATCCAAAGAATACTGATCTCAACCTGCACCCTAACTCCACTGTCTCTCTGTCAGGAAGAGGTCAGCATGTTTCATCACGGTCCTCTGGAATTGTGGTTGGTTACTGTGCTGTTCAAAGTCCTTACATCTTTCAAAGTTGTTTGTCTTTACAATGTTGTTATTACACAATCTGTTCTAGTTCTGCTCACCTCATTCTGTATCAGTTCATACAAGTTTTTCCAGGTTTCTCCGTTCTCTAACACATTTATTTATTATAATGCAATAGCACTCCATTACATTCACATTTTGTTCAGCCATTCCCTGAAGGACATTCCCTTAGGTTCCAGTTCTTTACCATCACAAAAAAAGCTGCTATAAATATTTTTGGATACATGGGTCTTTTTCCCCTTCCTCTGATCTCTTTGGGGATATAGGCCTAATAGTGGTACTAGTGGATCAAAGGATAGTAATTTTTTTGAGCACAGTTCCAAATCGCTTTCCATAATGGCTGGACCAATTCACATTTCCATTGCTTTTCCTTTAAAAATCTTTTAGATTTAAATTTGTTTTTCTATTTACAAACATTTATTTCCTTTCCAAACTGGGGGGGGGAGGCAATAAAACAAAATTCTTTTAGTAAATATGCATAGTTAAGCAAAACAATTTACCGCATTTGGCCATGTCCAAAAACATGTATCGCCTTCTGCATCTTGAGTCCATCACGTCTTGGTCAGGAGGTGGGAAGTAGGGTTCATGCTTGGTTCATTATCAATCCTCTGGAATCATGAGTGGTCATTGCATTGATCAGAGTTCTTAAATCAAAATTTCCTAAATGTAGGTCTGATCATAAAACCCGCCTATACAGTAAATAAACTCCAGTGTCTTCCTATAACCTCTAGGATCAAATATAAACTTCCATGTTTTGAATTTAAAGCTTTTCCTATTCTATCCTTATCGTCTTTTTACACAGTACCCCCCCCCCGACACTCTATGGTTCAGCCATACTGGCCTACTGCTGCTGCTTTTCCTCAAACAACGATCTGATCTCATGCCAACAGTGCTCTCCCTACTCGCCTCCACCTCCTGGGATTCCTGCCTTCTTTCAAGATTCAGCTCCAGCAGCACCTTCTGCAGGAGGTCTTTACTGATGCCTCAGATGTTAGTGCCCCACTTCCTTCTGTTACTATTTAATTATCTTGTATGTTCTCATTCATCTACATGTTGTCTCTAGCATTAGAATGTAACCTACTTGAGAGCAGGAACCATTTTTGCTTTTCTTTGTATCCTCAGCACAGCACAGTGCTTGGCAAATAGTCAATTCTTATAGACTGACTGATTGTGTGACTGTGCGAAGTCTCTTCACCTGTTTCCTCAGGGTCCTTATGAGGAAAGTGCTTAGTGATGTGATACGGTGTGGTGGAAAGCACACTGGATTTGGAATCAAAAGACCTGAGTTTAAATCTCATATCTATACCTATGTGACACTAGTCCAGCCAGTATTCTCATCTAAAAATGGGATTGGACTGGACAATTTCTAAAAGCCTCTTCCATGCCTTAATCTATAAAAGTGAAAATCCTTAGAGCTTATTATATTCTATGTAAAATCATCATTAATTTAAGAAAATTGATCCAGACCTGTATTACCAGAAAAAGTCCATAGGCCCATGTGAAAAGATGATGGAAATAAATCAATGAAAGATAATGGAGACGTAAATTTAAACAAATTGGGGGGGGGAAGGGAATGTAATGCTCTTTCATGTTAAAAAAATTTAAATAAAGTCAATATAAGGAAGGGAAAAAAGCACCCTATAAGAACTTTATACCATAGAATTCTCATGGAAGAGAAACATTTCCTTGCTCAGCAGGGAAATCCAATCTCTCCATGAAGCCCAAAGCAACAGAGAAGCATCAAAAGCAAAAAGACAAAATGATGATCCTATTCAGACCCCTATCTTCCAACAACAGGTGACAATGTAGAAACTTTAAAAAAAAAAGTCAAAAAACACAATGAAAGTAGGGCAGTAACTGAAGACAAATGCATCATGACATCACCAATCCTAGGTACTATTTGATATTCCCCATGGAATTCTCTGCTATCTCTTCCACTCTCCTGACGCTAAGTATAAAATGACAGAATCACAGAATCCTGAGAGTTTATTTGAGCAGACATCTAGTTCAATCCATACCCCAAAGGCCTCCCCACTGTAACATACCTGGCCAGTGATCATCCAACCTCTTTGTGAAGACCTCTAAGGGGAGGAAACCCACCTCTTGAAGCAGCCCATTCCACTTCTGAAAAGCTGATTGTTAGAAAGGTTTTCCTGACTCTGACTGTTAGAAAGCATTAATCATTAGGATGTTTTCTCTCATTTCCCATGAGCTTACAGCAGCTCAGCAGTTACACTGGCCACTTGTTTCAAGATGTGTGGATGTAGTTAATTCACTTGGGCAAGGTGTCTTGAATTCATCAAGATCAGCTAGTTACATTCTTACAATCTCCTCACTTATCTTGGACATCAACTCTTTTTTTTCTTTTTTTCTTTTGGCTAGGCAATGGGGTTAAGTGACTTGCCCAGGGTCAGACACCTAGTAAGTGTCAAATGTCTGAGTCCAAGTTTGAACTCAGGTTCTCCTGACTTCAGGGCCAGTGCTCTATACATCACGCCACCTAGTTGCCCTGGACATTAACTCTTTGTTAGACATTTGCTTCATCATTAACAGTAATAGAAGTCAGAGGAAGGAGCTATTTTGCAAGAAATATGGTTTAAGATCCCAAGAAATGGAGGGAAGAAGGAGCAGCATACACAAGGTCATAAAGGCATATTGGATGAGTATAGCCTGTATGTGTGGACAGTAAGGAGATTAATAATAATGGCCAACATTTATATATTCTTATATGTACTATGTGCCAGGCACTATTCTCATTGCTTTAAAATTATTATCTCATTTGAGCCTCACAACAACTCTGGAAGGTGGGTGCTGTTTTAGGTAACAGTTAATAAATTGACTGTAGATAAAATTAAAACCCTCATTTTACAGATGAGAAAGGTGAGGCAAACAGGTGAAGTGACTTTCCTAGGATCACACAGCTAGAAAGTGTGCGATGGCAGATTTGAACTCAAGTCTTCCTGACTCTAGATCTAGTACCCTATCTATCCACTGCAACACCTAGCAATCTGAGGTGTGTTTAATGGGGGGGGGGATGACAAAATTTGATCATAGACAAGATTCAGGGGATAAAGGAGAGGGAAGAGTCAAAAATAACTATAAGGGTTTTTTGTCTTGGACTGAGGGAATATTGGTGCCAGTTACAGAGGAACCTATTGAGGGGCAAAAATGAGGTCACTTTGACATGACTAAGTTTGAGCAGGACATCCCCGTAGAGATAGTTCTGTACACCACTGACTATGTAGGACTGGAGTTACAGGTAAGAGTGCAGAATTGGTGATTTGAGAGTCATCTGAATAAAGGTAATCACTGAGGCTATGGAAATTGAAATGCTCAGAGAGGGAATAAAGGACAGAGTCTCAGAAGATGGCGCAGGAGGGTGGGAGGAGTTTGAGAAGACAAAACAGTAGCAGTCCTAGAGGTGGGAAAACCCTCCAGACCATAAAAAGTGCTTTGTCAAGGAAATGAAGGGACAGCCGGAGCTTGCAAAATAGCCCCTTCCTCTGACTTCTATTACTGTTAATAGCACTACCATTTCCCCAATCATCCAGGATCCAAACTTTGGAGTCATCTCTGACTTTCCTTTCCCTCAAGTCCCACATCTGGTCAGTCACGGAGTGAGCAGTAATTCTTCCATCCTATCTCCTTTCAGTCTCTTCTTCCTATTCTTATCGCTATCACCCTAGTTCAGAACCGAAAGAGAACCTCTTACTTGGAAGCCTCTCTGTCTCTCCCCTCTACCCTTCAAATGTATTTACATGAAGTCACCAGGTTGTCTTCCTCAAACATTTACTTTTAGCATAAACAAAGAAAGTCAAGGAGGCAGAAATGAGTGTGAGTTATATCTGTGTGGAAGAAGAGTAAATGGACCTTCCTAACTCAAAGTGAAAGGTAACAAAGATCCTTAAAGTCTCTTTGAAACTCTAAAATTCTATAATTCAATCTAAGTCTCCTGCTTAAAAGCCCCCAATAACTCAGTACTGCCCAGCAGACAAACCCTAAATTTCTCAGGCTGGCATTCAAGGCCCTTGTTAATGTAGCCCCAAGCTATTCTTCCAGACCAATTTGCTACCACAAACCAACTGAGCCATTCACCATGCCCTGAAACATGTCTTTTTGACTTCTTGCCCCCATTCTTTGCTTATGCTAGCCTCCCTACCTAGCAAGCTCTGTCCTTCTGGAACTGGCAGGCATCCTTTAAGGTTCAGCTCAGATCCGATCCAACCTACCCCATAAAGCCTCACACTGATGAAAACATACATTCATTAAAGAATGTAAGTATATATCTTATACTTTCAACTAAGCTCCCAAAGGGCAGAGTCCACCTATACAGATATATACATAGATGTAATACACACACACACACACACACACACACACACATACACGACTTGAACATAAGTCACTAAATATTTGTTAAATGAATAAAGTACAGAATGATAGAAATACAAAAGCTGGCCCAAGCATACCTCACTTCACACCCAGACTTACATAAGTCTCCTAGCTAACTACAGGCTTTTTTCCCTATTTGAATTTCACAAACTCTCGATCCCCAAGCTGCCAGTGGCATTCCCCAGCCCATTACTTGGTTATGTATTTTGTCTCTATTTATAAGTGTAGTGTAGCTCTGATAAAGTGTAAGCTCCTTAAGGGCAGGGTCAGTTTTATGTTTGTCTTTATATCCTAGCAAAAACTGCCCGGCTCACATAGCAGGTGCTTAATAAATTTTGTTGTTCAGTCATGTCTGATTCTTTGTGACCCCATTTGGGGTTTTCTTGGCAAAGATACTCAAGTGGTTTGCTATTTCCTTCTCCAGCTCATTTTATAGATGAGAAAAGTGAGGCAAACAGGGTGAAGTGACTTGTTCACGGTCATACAGCTAGTGAGTGTATGAGGCCAGATATGAACTTGGGTCTTCCTGACTCCAAGCCTGGCACTCTATCCACCATGCCATCTAGCTGCCCTTAACAGCTTAATAAATGATCGTTGACTAAATGACTCCTGAATTGGAGTGTGTCACGTCCCTACTCAAGAACATATAAGCCTGGTTTTCAAGGCCCTTCATTCAGTTGGGCAGATCCATTTACTCTCTGTTCGTACGGACATTCATTGCTGCCGTTATGCTGTTGACCTCCTCCTGGCTAGAATACCCTTTCTTTTCTTTTTTTGTTGTTTTGACTGATGTTTTATTTTCAGGCATACCATTTGTACTGATCTTTTTTTAATTCAAGGAAGTTCAATAATTTTTCTCCATCGTTCTGAGTTCGCAAATGTTTTGCATGACAGTCACTACTAGATTTTTGCACTAATTTCAACTAAACACTCACAATGACAATATCATCAGCAATTATAACACAGAATAAGTGGACAGCTTACTGGACTTGGGTTCAAATGCTACAACACTTCTTCATCATGTGATAATTTATGTATTACTAACTTGCAAGATACTTTGGAAACAGCAACATGGTGCACTGGGTAGTGCACTAGACCTGAGGTCAGAAAGACATGGTGTTTAGATCCTGACTTGTATGCCAATCACCTCTGTAACCCTGGGCAAATCACTTCACCTGTCTATATCTGTTTCCTCATCTGTTAAGATGTGGGGGCTGGACTCAAGGAATGCCCTTTGGAGCTTGTACTCTCCTTACTTAAGACTTACCTATACTTCCATTGCACCTCTGCAGCGGCCTTCTTCAGCTCTTCTAAACCACACTGATCTTCCTTCCTCTAATCTCTCCTCTTGTGCTTATAGTCTGTCCCATACAATTTCACACTCAAATGGTCTCTAGTTGTTTCACAAAGCTAAGGGATAAGAATTTTTTGCAGTGGTTATAGGATCACAGAAGCTAAAGCTGCAAGGTCATTTATTTCAAGGGGGCAGAGTGGCCAACAGCATTAAAGACATTGAGGAAAATGAAGAGTTAAGTAGATACAATTAAATTTTGCAACCAGTTTCCCAGAAAATGATGACAAACACCACTGAATTTTGCAAACAAAAGTCACTGGTAACACTAGAAAGATCATTTAGGAAAGTGGTGTGAGAGAATCAGATTAGAAGGGGTACAGGATTGAAGAAATGGTGAGGAAATTAAGGTAGACAGTACATATCCCTTTTTAAAGAAAAGTCTTGCAATGAGAGACAGAAATAAGAAAGTACAGTTCAAACAGGGAATTGGGGGAAATTTGTTTAAAGATAGTGTAACCCTGAGCATGTCAATGAGCAAAAATGAAGGCAATAAAAATAAAGAGATTTTAAGATACAAAAGAGGAAATAATTGATGGGGTGGACAGATTAGTGTAAGGTAGAAATCTGTCAGAGGAAAAGACTGCCAGATTTGGAACTAAAGAGCCTGGGTGCCAAACCGAGCTTTGTTACTTTACAACCATGTGACCCTGGGCAAAGTCACCTAATTAACCTCTCTGGACTTCCTTTTTCTCATTTGTAAAATGAATGAGGTGGATTAGATAGTCTTTGCAGCCCATTCCCACTCTGGATCTATGATGCGAGCATTGGAAAGGATGAGAAAAGGAGGATACCATCTTTTGAGATAAGAAAAAATGAAAGGAAAGATAAACAAGGAAATTCTTAAGTGGTGAGGAGGATGTGATCACAGAAATACTTTGAGGTAGCATTTTTGCTAGATGGCCTGAATCTCTGATGCCTAAATAGGGACAGCTTTGGAACAGCTGTTGAGAAAAATGCAATGAAAAGTCAACGAGAGAAACCAACAAGGACCACTGAACTGCAGTGAGAATCCAGTTACAGTGGAAGGGTATACATATATAGCCAGCCCCAGGGGTTCATGTCTTTCTCAACAGCTTGGCAGCACCAGAGTGAAGGAAGATGATGGGGATGACCATTCTACAAAGGTGGATACAGCAGCCAGGAGAGAAAGGTAACTAAAACTGAGGAATTGTGAAGTCCGGCTGTCAAAAGAGTCTTTAAGAGGGATACTGATTCTAATTCTTCTTTACAACATGACTAATGTGAAAATGTGTTTAATAGGAATGTGTATGTAGAGCCTATATCAGACTGCACACTGTCTTGGGGAAGGAGGTGGAGAAAATTTAAAACTCAAAAGCTTATGGAAGTGATTGTTGAAAACTAAAAATATATTTATTTAAAAAAGGATACTGAAATCACCGAGGATGATGGAAAGAGATTAAGTGGAAAAGAAAAATGAGGAACTCAAAAGAGAAACTGATAGGGGAAGCTAGATGGCACAGTGGATAGAACACTGGCCCTGGAGTCAGGAAGACCCGAGTTCAAACCTGGCCTCAGACACATATTAGCTGTGTGACCCTAGGCAAGTCACTTAACCTGACTGTCGAGAAAGAAAGAGAGAGAGAGAGAGAGAGAGAGAGAGAGAGAGAGAGAGAGAGAGAGAGAGAGAGAGAGAGAGAGACAGAGAGAGAAAGAAACTGTTAAGTGATCTCCCTGGTTGGTGTTTGTCATCATTTATCTGTGTAGTGATTCCCAAACAAATGGGCACCCCCTTAGTTTCTAGGTTTTGCCACAAGAAGATGATCTGCTATGATTATTTTTGTATCCATAGGTCCTTTACCTCTTTCTTTCCCTTCTTCAGGGTAATGGCCTAGCAGTGGTATAACTGAGTCAAAGGGTGTGCACCTTTGCCTGGCTGTTCCCATATCTGGAATGCTCTTTCTTTCTTATCTCTACCTCTTGGTTTTCTTGACTTCCTTCAAGTCTCAGCTAAAATCCCACCTCCCAAGTAAGTGATTTCTCCTAAATTCTAATGCCTTCCCTCTTTTGATTATTTCTAATTTATCCTTGTATATACCTTGTTTGTACACAATAATTTGCAGGTTGTTTCCCCATTAGACTGTGGGAGATTCTTGGGAGCCCCTGCCTTTTTTTTGGGGGGGGAAGTGAACCCCTGTCCTTGCCTTTCTGTATATCCCCAGCACATAGCACAGTTCCTGGCATAAAGTAGGCACTTAATAAGTGTTTATTGATTGACTTTTGGGACACAGTTCCAAATTACTTTCCAGAATGGCTGGACCAATTGACATCTTTACCAAAACAGAGCAGCAGTGTGCCTGTTTTCCTGTAGTCCCTCTGATAATTGTCATTCCTTTTTTTGGTCATTTTTTACAATCTGGTCAGTATGAGATATAACTTCAGAATTGTTTTAATTGCATTTCTCTAATTATTAACGCTCCTCCCCCAGTTCTTGTCCCCTCCCTTCAATTTTTTGTATTTGTGTTTTGTGTGTATATACACGCGCGTGCACACACACACACACACACACACACACACACACACACACACACACACACACCTGTGTACGCATTGATTCTGCACAGACCACAAGCTTCTTGAACACAGAAGGGTCATGGAACCAACAAATAAACTAATTAAATATTTTCCCCAGTCTCACTAACTCTCAGAAAATGAAACCCCAGAGCCAGGCGTGGTGGCACACACCTGTAGTATCTACTCTTGGGGAGGCTTGTGCCCACGGTTCATTTGAACTCAGGAGTTCTGACAGTAGAAAAGCTGACAGGGTGAATGCACCCCTATGGTGAGCCCTGAGGAGCAGAGGGCCACCAGGATGCCAAGGCAGGGATGAGGTGGCCCAGGTCAGAAACAGAGCAGGTTAAAGCTTTGGGCTGATCAGCAGTGGGACTGGATCTAGGAATGGTCTCTGCACTTCCAATCTGGGCAAGATAGGGGGACCCAGAATGGAAAAAAAAAAAGGAATTATATATCAAATGTTGAGTAATTACAACTTAATCCACAGGACAAAAAAGAGAGACCCAACAAGGTAAAATCCAGAATAGCACAGGCCAACAATCTTTAGAGTGTTCATTCAGTAACCCACTTTCACTAGTCTCCATGCCCCCAGCAGGGATGCACAAACTAGCAGGCATGTGCCTGGGGCCCATACTGGAATTCATTTCTGCTACAGAGACTTTGCCAATATACCCCACCCCCTCACCCTGTATGAATGGTGGACACTGATTTTGATCAGCCTACACTGTAGGCTGAGAGGGTGGGAGGAGAGGATACTGTCTTCTCCCTGGGTTGGTCTCTACAATAGGAACCTTAAGGCTACAGAGCCTACATCCAGAGCACTTTTCCTACTCTCCCCCAAACCTATAAAAAGTGAGAGAAACTGATTCAGCATAGCCAAAGAAAGAAAAGAGAGCTGAGGAAAGAGGGAAGAAATGGGACTCGGGACCAGTGTGCTGCACCAGACTCAAAGGGACCTTAAAATCCATGTGCAGTCAATTCTGCTCTCTGAGGGGCTACTTAGGCCAAGGACAAGACCAGTGAGTATCAGTGTAAGAAGAAGCCAAGGCAACTTGACAGCCCAGTCTTGCAGACATATCCACTAGCAAATGCAGAAGAGTCAGAAAGTGAGTGACAGGAGACAATAAGGAAATAATACTGAAACATCAAAGATTTCAAGAAGGAGAACACTAAAAAACCAGATCAGAAACAGATCAACCAACAAAGAGGATCCTAAAACTGGAAGGGAAGGATGAGTATTATACATTTAAAGGGATTATTACAAATCTCCCAATCAATATTACCAAGTGAACCAATGCCTAATGAAATACAGAATTTTGTGGAAACCCAAAAGAGCACAGAACAAAAAATTCCATAATGGTTAAAAAAAAAAAAAGGAAATGAAATGTGTAAGAGAAGAAGTTAGGAATGACTATCAATCAAAAGTTATAACTTTCAGTGCAGAAATAAAAAATTCAATGGGCAGATTAGAAAAAAATTGACTGTACTCTCACTTAAACATCTTTAGAGAATCTTTACAGGGTAACAGATTTGGAATACAAAAATGCTAAAGTAGAGAGGAAAAAAGCAAAAGGCAAAAAAATTAAAACAACACATGATCTCTATACAAACCAAAACAACTGACCTTGAAGAAAGGAAACACAAACTAATGATTGTAGGTTTCCCTGAAGAACATGACAAATCAAGAAGTCTGAATATTATAATGAAGGAAATAATACAAGAAATTGCTCAGTTCTGCATTTAAGACTTCTGAATATAGAAAACAAAATGCCCATCAAAAGAATTCACATATTGCCTCTGGGGGAAAAAAGCCTGTATTTAAAATTTCCAGACACAACCGTTAAATTTAACAATTCCAATAACAAATTCTGCAAGCAGACAGGAAAAACACTCTCAAACAATATGAGATTACTCTGTACCCACTAGAAACTGAAGAAGGAAATAGAATAGTACAATCCAAAAAGCAAAGGAGTTCAAGCTGCAACCCCCCCAATACTACACACCTGAGTCTAATTATCAATGAAAACTATGGAAAATCAGCAAAAGAATCATTTGAAGCATTTCTGGGAAGAAAAACAATCACCACCCACATTGGACCTGAATGAATGGGGAGAAAACATGTACATATATGATTAAAAACAGAGAAAGACCAATGCAAAGCACAAATACAACAAATACAAAGTAACTATAGAGAAGGCCCTATAGACTGGGGAGACAAAGAAAAGATACCTACAGAAGGAGGAGCCTGAGCTGAGTCTCAAAAGAAACCAGAGATTCCAAGAATCAGAGGAAAGGAAGGTGAGAACTGCCACCTGCAGCTCAGCTGGCACAAATCACAGAAAAGGGGGAAAGAACGTTATTGGCAGGAAGCCAGACCAAAGAGCACTGGGAGGGGAAGTGTGTATAGGAAGGCTGGAAAAGCAGGACGAGGGCAGTTTGTGAAGCACTGTAAATGACAGAGCGATATGGAAATGATACCAGGGAAAGAACCACCCAAATCAAATATCACTAAGACCAACAGCTTTACCTGGCTTAGTAAAAAGTTAAATTAAGAAAGGAATCCTAGACTGGTCCCCAAACTCCAAGAGTTAGTCATTTAACAATATGTCCACTAACACCCTACCTGGCCACCTTAACTCTTGACCATCGCTGCCTCGACAAGCTCTTGGAGGACATCACAAAGCATGTAAATGACACCCCAGAATAATAGTTTCAGAGTTGAAAGGACCCTCAGAGGCTATGGAATCAAACCCCTACCCAAAAAAGAATCACCATTATAATAATTATACATACATTATAATACCAATATACATTATAATACAAATAATGCATGCATAATATGTATTATGATGTATATAATATATACATGGTATAATAATAATTATTATATATAATAACATATAATGTATAATACAATATACATTATAGTACCAACATAATAGGTCATAGAACCTCTTTTGCTCAAAACAAGGCAGGATCCCCGATTCCCCAAGATAGCTCTTTCTACCTCAATAGCTCTAAATGGTTCAGAAGTTTTTCTCCACATCAAGCCTAAATCTACCTCTCTTCGACTTTCCACCTGCTGCTCCAGTTCTGCCCTGGGAGGCCAAAGTGAACATGACAGTTTTTCAAGTACTTGCTTAACAATTGCTACCTATCTTACCTAACCTTTTTCTTCTCCAAGCTAAACTCCCCAGTTCTTTCAACCAGTCCTCCTATGGCATGAGCTCAATGTTCTTCCTAAAATTTGGTCTCCAGAACTGAATGCAATACTTCAGATGGTCTGATCAGGGCAGCGGACAATCAGAACCATCACCTCTTTCCGTCATCTAAAATCTCTACTTGAGAGAAATGAATGCATTCATGGCATCATATTTTAAATTTACCATTTTTACCCTCAGGATAGACGCTCAGCAATCCAGCTAGGTAGCTCAGTGGATAGAGTGATGGGCTTTGTCTGCCTCAGTTTCCTCAACTGTAAAACAGGGAAAATAACAGCACCTACTACGAAGGACTGCTGTGAGAATCAAATAAGATCCTATCTGTAAAGCTCTCTGCCCACTGCTCGGCACAAGGCAGGCACTTAATAAATGCTTGCCCCATTGTCACACCCTCCCCCACCTCATATTCTTCCCCTCTTGTTCAAGTTCAGCTCCTCCTCTTACCTCTTCCATGAAGCTTTTCTGAGTTACTAATACTGATCTTTCTCATGTCTGAATTCCTACCATATTTAGAGTCAGAATCACACAATTTAGCATTTAAATAGTCATCTTGTCTTTTTTTTTCTCCTTGATTAGATTGCAGGCTCCTGGATGGTATGGGCTATTATCTGCAGTAGGTATTAGGAGTCCTGACACCATACCTCCCCCCACTCCCCAAACAGTAAGAACTGGGATTTAATTTTCCTTGAGTTTCCCTCATTTTCAGTTGACAAGGGATTTTCAGGTGGCAACAGGGCGGAACTGTAACAACTCTTATGTCCATTTCCAAACAAATAAAAATGAACAGTAGTCACCTGAGCTAGAAATATCAGTCCATTAATTGCTGGAGGGGCTACGAGAAGGCAGGCATACTAATATAACTGGAGCTATGAATTCAGTCCAGCCATTCTGGAAAGTAATTTGGAACCATGCACCAAAAGTCACTAAATTGTACATATTTTTGACCTGGTGATACCATTATTAGGCCTATATCAAAATAAAAGAGAAAAGACCTGTATGTACAAAAATATTTATAACAGCTTTTTTTGTTGCAGTGAGAACTAGAAATATGGGAAGTGCCTATCAATTGGGGAATGGCTAAATAAATTATGGCATAGGAATGTAATGGAATATTACTGTGATATAAGTAATGAAAAACAGGAAGGTTTCAGAGAAACCCTGGAAGACTTATATGAACTGATGCAAACAGAGTGAAATGAGCAGAGCCAGGAGAACAATTTACACAATAACAACAACATTGCAAAGACAAACAGTTAAGAACTCTAATCAATGCAGTAACTAACCACAATGCCAGAGGACTAATGATGTTGCTCATCTCCTAACAGAGAGATGACAGACTTAGAGTGCAGACTAAAAAAAATTTGGGGGGGAGGAAGTGAGAAGAAAAATGGTATTAGCTAGCATTTATTATAGCACTTCAAGGTTTGCAAAAGGTAACTTATTTTTATACTGTTTTCAGATGAGGAAACTAAGGCAGACAGTGGTTAAGTGACTTACCCAGAGTCACACAGTTAAGTGTCTGAGGCTAGATTTGAACTCAGGTCTTCCTGACTACAGGTCCAGCGCTCTATCCAATGCACCACCTAGCTACCTAAAAAATAGATTTTTGTTCATTGAAAAAAAAAAAAAGAATTACATCAAAAATAAAAAATAAAAGCAAAAAGTCCCAGGGGAATGGCTAATCCTCCAAGAGCCAATGGCAGTTACCCTTCCAATTCCATCATGGAAACTTCTTCACACTTGTAAAGAAATAACAAGGCCTATCATTGCACTTTGTTTAATATATTAACACCCTGTTACCTCCACTGTATGTTCTTTATTTTCTGAGATTATATCAACTGAGCTGGGGGTGGGGGTTGAGAACCAACAATACATTCAGATTATCTGACTCATTTTTTCCATTACATTCCCCTTACTTACTATAATGCTGACCACAAATACACTGTTATTCCAAATATATCTTTTTTTATTTATAGCTTCGAAAAATTCTTTCCAATTAGATTTGTGTAAAACAATGTTTGAGGTTTCAGCTTAACCAATTAAAAGAGTAACTTGGCTCCTGCTACATACATTTTCTGGCCAATTTTTAAATTCTTGATAAATGCAATGAATAGGAACCAGTATAATTGTTGAAAATAAATTTTATGTCTAAGTATTAATACTATTTTAAAAGCTCTAAAATTTTCCAGTTTAGCACAAACCACTGCATTAAAACTGAGTTTTATGCTTCCAAACTGTCAAGACCAAAACAAAATGACACTACAATTCTAGATCTTAATTTCTCCTTTATAAAATGACAAACCTAGGGCTCAGGAAAAGTCCAAATCCTAGAACAGTGATTGCGAACTACAGTTTTAAATACTATAAGGGTATCTTAATGTGTTTCAGGTGTCATTCCCCAAAACAAAACAAAAATGATTTAGTATTTTCTATCTCTATTACACACATAAGAGAAGCAGTATAACATGGTGAATGCTGAATTGGCCTCAAAGCCGGGAAGATCTAGGTTCAAATATAACATGTCCCGCCTGTGTGACCCTGCAGCAAATCACTTAACCTTTCAGGCAACTCTCTAAGGACTACAGGTTTCAGAGAAAGTGTCTACCTTCATTGATAATGGGAGTTTCTTCACCTGAGAATTCCTTATGCCAATGAAACAAATCACAGATTCAGTCCCTATTCCCACATTACATATATGTATATGTATATGCTACAGGGTCAATGAATCCTCCACCAAAATCCTATTCTTATGTCTCATGATGGCCTGGTTGTTGGGCTTTCTGTCCCTGTTTGGGATTTTCTTAGTAAAGATATTAGAGTGGTTTGCCATTTCCTTCTCCAGCTCATTTTACAGATAAAGAAACTGAGGCAAACAGTTAAGTGACTTGCCCAGGGTCACACAACTAGTAAGTGTTTGAAGCCACATTTGAAAGCAGGAAGATGAGTCTTCCTGACTCCAGGCCCAGCACTCTATCCACTGTACTACCTCGATGCCCCAAAATGAGTGGCCACTCCACCCCAGATGGGATTCAAACTCTCAATCCCGGGCTTAGGAGCCAGTGCCTTATCCTTTAGGTCACTACAGCTTTCTGTTGACAGACAGGAATCGTCCACAAATTCTGTGTCAGCAAGAGAAGCGGCTCTCTCAAGTCCCACGGAAGCTGGCACAGCATTAGGCGTGGGCTCAGCAGCCTACCTAAGTTTGCAAAGGGTCACCTTAAGCCACTAGGCTGGCTAAAAAAGTATTCATTGTTGTGGCTCAGAAATACAGGAAAACTCTCCAGTAGAGCATAAGAGGATTATAATATGCACCAAGAATGGAGTTTCAACATGAACAAAATCATGGCTCCTCTAAGCAATGGACAGTATAGACACATTATCAAAAATTTTAGGGGCAGGGGGAGATGATGGAATGAATGAAGTATGCGTTGTGAACATCATACGAAACAGATTCCCACCAACGTCAGGAATAACCCTTCTGTGTTTGGAGTGTAATGTTAAAAAAAAAAAGGAGTAGCATGAGTTCAAAGTTAATCAACTCTGACTAACCACTAGGATTCCAAATTTAACTGTCTTGGTATTACGGGTAATAAGCTGAACAGCCCTCTGGGAATCCCACGGATGATTCATACTCCTGAATGAGAGTGCTGAACGTGATGTAGCAAAGAAGCAATTAGAGAGACTACAATGCCTAACTTTATTTTAAATGTATGTTTTAAGGGCAAGTTAATTCCAGAGAAGTGATAATAGATGTTTAATAACCAGCTAGTGCCAGCTCCTAAGCAAAACCTCTAAGCTGGCTGACTAGCAAATAGTAATCTGTGTAATCAACAAGTTTTGGGTTTGTTTTTTCAGAAGAGATTCTGAAAATGAACTGAGGTTCCAGAGACAAGAAAGTAATATGTGCAGTGAATAAAACCAAGTTAAAAAGCATTCTGCAATCAGCTTTGTCAACGGACAGGGAGAGGGAAAGTACATGGTGTCATGCACTGGCAAAATTCCATTTTCATTCAACACATTAAGAACTCATAAGGACCAGATGAAGTTGGGGCAACCTGAAATAATGCATTTATTCTCCAAGAGTTACAAGTGATATTTCTTCCACAACACAAGAGGGCAAAAGACTGACACTCAAAGCACCCTAAAGTTTGGGTCAAACTAACTATTCTGAACTGGAATACGGAAAAAAGAACATGCTTATGCCAAAGTGAAGTCAAATGTAGGCTATTTCTGATATGACCAAGTTGACAATATACAAAATCAAAACAGATACTCTTTTTGAAGGAAAAATTAGGCTAGAAAACTAGGTATGGAAGAAGAAAACTGAAGGAGAAACTATAATGGATGGGGAAAAGTGGAAAAAGCTGATTTAGAATAAAAGAAATTGACATAGCTTTTCAATTAAAAGATTACCCATTTAAATTTAAAAGTGGGTTGTTGTTTCCTAAAGTGAGTAAAGGATATAAAATCTACCAAATTTACATATAACTCTTTAAGAGTTGTTTTACTCATAGGTATATGGGCAATAATAAAAACCATAATATAACTACAGTCTGCATGACATGGCATTACTTTACATGTGAAACTACTCAATATTCTTTTGGTAATTCAGTAAAATTCAATAATTATTCTCTCCTTTAGCTAGGATCCAAGATAGACCCACCTTACACTGGATTCCATTCTGTAGTGAATTTTATGACAGTGATGATTTTATGTAAATCTTAATTCATGAACTTTTGAAATTTTTTTTAAGCTCAGTGTTTCTCAGATCATAGAAGTATTTTTTCTACCTCCATCTTCTCTGAATACAAAACTGGATACAATACAGCTAGTTCTAATTCAGTGTGAACCATGAATCCTCTGAAGTATTCCCAAATGTCCGAATTTTCACTATTCAAAATTATATTTATATAAAAGATTGGTCCTAGCTCAATGAAAATATGCAATGTGAATGCAAACAATGCATTTACTTCAGGGGTTTTATTATTCACACTAATCAGGACTTTGTTAACTCAAATATACAATATGCAATACGACAAAACACAAAATCTCCATTTTCTTTCTTTATGTAGTAATTTTTACCCAAGGTCTGCTATTGAGTAACACAATGCAGAATCAATAATATACAAATGTCCAAACATCAATAGTTAGATCTTAAGCTCTGCCCAATGTAAAGAGAACACTGCAGCTTACTCCTCAAGGCATAAAAAACTCTCACTACACATCTACCTATAATGAACAAATCATCTATTTTCTTATCTACATCAAAGCTACTACAAGTACAATCCAATAAATAGCACTGGAAAACTTTCTATGTAATGCCATTATCACCATTCTCCTCATTTTCTCATGAAATAGAGTGGAATCCCTGACTAGAAGTTACTTTTATATCTGAAACAGAAGAATAATGGAAACACATTTCAAAACCTGCCCATTTATACAACTGGCCAACCCTCTTACAATTTTCCTTTACGTGAGTTACACACCTAGATGCTGGGCTCATCACTAACTTCCATTTCCTTTCAAAGAAGCCAAAGAAAGCAATCGAAGAATCCATTATATAAAAAACACAGCAGAAAAGTGGTCAAAGGGTATGAACAATTTTTCAAAAGAGGAAAGACAACTATCAACAACTATATTGGAAAAATGCTCCAAAAGGCTAATAAGAGAAACACAAATTAAAAAAAAACAGATATTTTACCTTATGCCTGCCAACTGGCAAAGATAATGAAAGATGGAAATAGTCCATTTTGGAGGGATTGTGGCAAGTCAGGCACACTAATATTGTTGGCAGACATATAAATTGGTCCAATCACTCCAAAAAACAATTTAGAATTATATGAGAAAAATTATTAAACTGTTCCTCCCTTTTGATCCAGCAATCCCCATTACTAGGCACTCTAGGAAAGCCAAAGACAAAAAAAGAACAACTTCAATGATACCAAAACATTCATAGCAGCACTTTTTGTTGCTAACAAAAAAGCTAAAAATAAAGTTGAACTAAAGCTAGAAATAAACTGAGGAGTGGCTGATTAAGGGGTGGCAATATGAAGGTAATGGTTTATTTACCGTCCTGAATAATATATGCAGAGAAATACTGGAAGATTTGTATGAAATAATACAGAGCAAAGAAAGCAAAATTATGAGAACATTAAAGACACAATGACTACATGGAAATGAAAACAACTCTAAAAGGCAGGTGAATGTAGATTAAATTCGATGATCGATACTGATTCCAGACGACAGATGACGAAACAAATCTTCCTTCGTCTTGCAGTGAGAGGAGAGCAGCAAGTCACACATGGCAAATGTGACATGTGGGTGTTATATTGGCTGCTTTTCATTATTCAAGGGAAATGGAGGGAAGGGGAGATGAGAAGGGTATATCCAGAAATAATTGTGATTTAAAAGACACTAATAATTTTTATAAGATAAAAATTTGCCTATCATGTTTCAACATGTACTAAAAATTCCTATCTCCCTAGAGAAATGTTATATTTGTATATATTCCCTAAGCTATTGAAG